TCCGAGGACAAACACTGAAAGATTTCAACATTGTCACCTAGCCGTCTCCAGGTTTCTGATCCATATGACAATGCAGAGCACAATGCAACATTGCAAATTCAAGCCTTGATAGATAAGCTGATGTCTTTTGTGCAACGCAAAAGCCAGTCTGACCTAATACACTACTCATGAGGTTGCTGAAAATCCTCCTTCGAACAATCCTCAGCAAGTTTATGAGTAGTATATTACTGCTATTCATATTTCGTGACATAAGAAATATCATTCGTGAGGCGGCCTGGTGCAGCACATTCAGTTGCCTGAAAACAGCACAAACGAGAGATTCAGCTGGGTTCCGGGCAAAACCGAATTTGTTTGCAAATGAGTATATTTCGCCAAAATCACTCAGATTATCAGCTTGCGAAGGTCATGTTCATCCAATTTTTCACTTTTTAAATATTGGGTTCATAAGGCGGAAGAGACCATTCAGGTTTTTGTCAATCGATCGGAAGCAGTGTTCAAAGAAGTCTTATTGTCTGGCCCATGCGATATAATATCAGTGAATTAAGCAGGTGGGTATATCGATAATCCGCGATCATCTGTTACAAAATTGCTGGAATTTCAGAACGGAGATGACGGATCACGATTGTTTGAAGCTGCAACTGTCACTATTATTCCCCGGAGAAAACTCCGAACAAGAAACACCTGCATTGAGGAGACAGTTTTGTTCGCCGCAAATTTTGTTCCGAGAGACAAATAGGAGACGAACTTGGATATTTCACAATTCTACAAGGGGAAACTACAAAGCAAAACACTGTGATACTGACCCAGATTTATCACCGAAAAGATTGCTTGAACGTCTCGCCAGAAACACTCTTGATACACTGACCTTGGAGACATATCCGGGTAATTTTTTGGGGCGGTTAGCTGTTTGGCTGCTGAGCATTGATAATGCATTGACATTGTGCAAGAGTTTCTAGCGACTTTGTGAGTAGTATAGTACGTCTATACGTGTATCGGGATATCTTAAACATTTGGCCAACCCAAACATGAGCTGACTGGTGCAGCACCTTCGGTTGGAAACGAACATCCTAAAGGAGCGATTCAGATGGGGTCCGGTGAGTCAACGCGCAAAATCAAATTTGTTTGTTCCCTATTCCACCCTACCCCAATCCAATGTGAAAACCGTCTTTGCAGGTTCCAGAAATCGGACTGACCGTTCTGCTCGTCGTGCATCGGGTTCAAATGTAGCTTCTGAGCATCCCGATTCAGTGACAACTCTAAATACGTCGAAATCTGTTTTTGAAACCCCGAATACCGGTCTACCTAGCTGTCTGTAAAGTTCGCACACCGAATAACGCAGATGAGCGTGTGGCGTTTGATTGCATTGCCGCATTCCCACTGTCTGTCATAAACCGAGGAGCTGAGTTCCCTCTCGGTGTGTTCCGACTGCGCGTTTCAGATGATGCGGAGCCTCCTGCAGCTGTAAGTCCCGGGATGAGACCGATTGATTGATCACTAGTGACCTCATAGTCGCCCATCGATTACTATAAAAACAAGGCATTCGAAACCAGCCGGAGAACGAGAAACTTAAAATAAATGTTCAGTTTGGTTTGCTCTCAATTTCCGATTCAATTCTATTCTCTTTGTTTTTTCGTGGTAACGGTGCGATCACACGAGTGTGAAATGATCGAGGACCTTATTTCTCTCATCCTGAGTAAGCGTGAATTTTTTTGATTTGGCAAACTTACAAACCGTCACTCTAATACCCACCTACAAAGGATACGTCTAATGGATGAGTTGTTGACCAAAATCTGTTATGAATGGAAATTTGTTTGTGCATTTATCAAATTTTCTGCAAACTTGAACCCCGATTCACCAGAGCACTTTGATTTTATTGCAGACGACGAGTTAGCGGTGGAACCGGAGGACGTTTTCTCCAAAGATTTCAAAAGCTTTTTTGCGAAATGTTCAAACTGCACACAGATTGCCTTGACCCAGTTTCCCCAAAGATTTCAAAGTGTTTTATGCGAAACGTTCAAAATGCACACAGATACGGAAGGAACCGACGCTCGTGGATCATAAATGAAGGCGTGTATCACGCTCTTGGATGATAAATGAAGGCTTGTATCATGGATTAGTGTGAAACCAATGGGATTACAATTCACTGGCGTTGCTGACACATCGTACTGTAGCCACAGTCTAAGGCAAACAGAATACTACTCACTCGTACAGTCGATAAATTCAGGGGCCATTCACCAACTAAGACTACTTAGTTCTCGTCCTGTCCCGAAGCAATTATTCTGGTTGGTCCACGACACTGGATGGAGGCACGGCACTCGAGTACGACCCGTATATGAGCTCACCAGTAGTGCATGCTCTTGGTCATGATGGAGTTCGAACTCTGCACGCGTGGAATCGGCTTATCACCACGACTTGACCGGATCACGATGGACGCACCTGAATCATCCCTTCTGAATGTGTGCCGGATGTGTTTACGCTTAAGCGGTCGGATTGGTTAGCCTGACGCCCAAACGAGGACCCAGCAATTAGTCTAGTTGTATCGATCCACTGACTCGATTTTAAAGACTTCGTACTCAGGTAGCGTAACGGACGCTTGAAATTTGCTGTCAGGTGTCTGGAGTTCAAATCTCAACACGGACAATGATATGCATTACCGATGAGCTCTGATGAAGTAAAACTCGAATCCTGTGCTTTCCTCCCATTGTGTGGACGAAACGGAACAATCGCGCCAGGATACAAAGAGGAATCTTCGAATGGGACTGGCTTGAACAAACTGCGCAACCATCAACAACTAAGACTACTCAGTTCTTTCCAGGAGAGCTACACAGGGGAGAAAAGTGAACTTGTGTGGGGTGAGACAATCGCAGTTTTGTAAGATGGTAAAATAAGTGTTGAATAAGCGTTTGAAAGTAAAATCTGCGAGTTTCGAGGCAAAATCGGCTGGGATATTGTGAAAACTATTGAGCGCCACATGATCGCAAGCTAGTCTTCACGTGATTCGATTATTCAGCTGAGTAAATGAGTTGTGATGTTTTCTCATTTACTTGCATATCTCGCTTCGTTTCAATAGCCCAACTCGGGTTTCAAGCTGACCAATCGACTAACGTCTGCTGGTCATCCAATCACTTTGGGGAAACTAGATACTGTTTAGGAGCTATGTAAACGCAGGCATATAAGGGTAAATTTACCATTTCAGCAGCGCGTTGGCAATATCATATCGACTGGTGATGAAACGTTTGCAATCCAACTGTGGACACACCAGTAGCCAAGCGGCGCACATGAGCTGTCCAGATTCCGCAACTTCGCCAAACCACATCATAATGCCAACTGGATGACCATTAATGTTAGGGGGCCAGGAGTTCAATCACGTGACTCATGGTAGTGTAAACTGGTTCAAAGCAGTTTTCATAATACTCATTAGTGCGCACGAAGAATGCATCTGTCTGCAGTAATTCTAAGGTAAATATTATCCAGCCATCATCAACTGAAGAACGAGTGACGTCTACTCATAGAACAAGTGGCCAAGACAGGCTTCAGAGTAAAAGCTTCGCTTACGGGCGTTGCACAGTAACCTCGACGACACTGAGTACCAGCTGATCATTGTGATTCGTTCCAGGACTACTGGCAACTTGATCTGCTAAGCAATCTGGTTATTTTCTCTTGTGTATTCCGGTAGCCAGAAAATGTTTTATGGTAACAATGCACCTATCTGTGAAAACATTTCTAATGCTATATGTTCCACATGGCCTTTCCGAAATCTGAGAACTGAGTACTCTTCACCTTAAGGTTTGTTTGATGGGCTTAATCGGGCTGCTGACCAGGCAAGCACTTGCCATACAAGGAGATGTACTGGGAATTGTGGAAAGTTTCGCGTATCTTGTGTAAGTTCCGATTGTAGTGTGACAGATGAGGCGAATTTACGAATCTCTAAGGCTCGAGTCGCGTTTGCAAATTTGAGACACGGTGGTAATATGTCCCGAAATCTCAAACGACGAGTGCACCAGAGTACAGTACGGGCCGTTTCGTTGTGCGGTTGTGGGACTTGGCCTCTTCGAGCGGCAGACTGAGACGTATTCAGGCCCTTGACAACCATGGTGATGTGCGACTCAGGAAAAGAACATTTGGAAGGCGCGTGTTCGGTTGTCTGACGAGAATTTTCATCAAATCATGTGTACAGCACGAGAAGCTGCGTTGGTCAGGCCATGTATTGCGCATGCCGAGTTATCGTTTGCCAATCAAAGGAGCGTTTCTCGTACCCGAATCAGAGTGACACGAGCAGAGAGGCGGCTCCCGTTTGATCTGGTGGGAAGTCTTGTTACTGTCAGGAAGACGGATCCCATGACGACATC